ACTGCTGTGAATGTCTTTGAAACATGTGTCATCAATCATCGACATTCAAAACACAACAATGGTAACACTCAACAAATAAAACCAGCACTACAACATAAACCAACATTACAAAATAAAACAACAAAACAAACTGCTAAAAGTGAACTAAAACAAGTTCAATGGCACAAATAAAACCAACAAGAATTAAAAAAAAAACTCTTCAGCATGATCTAGTCATGCTGCATTGCATGCTGTGTGCCTTCAGAGTACATCTGCACTGTAGAAACACAGTATGATGCTGTTTGTTTAGAAGAAATTTCTGAGAGTGCAGTTAGATACAAGAGAAGTGCTACTGTGAAATTAATGTCAAGTCAAGTCACCTTTATTTATATAGCACTTTTAACGATACAGATTGTGTCAAAGCAACTTTATAGCATTAAATAGGAAAATAGTTTGTCAATAATGCAAGATGACAATAGTAAACACTCAATTTTCAGTTAAAGGCAGTTCTGATTTAAGGAATCATGATTTTTTTTTGCCCTCACACTTATCAGTTTATCAGTTTAAGTACTATTGGCTCTGGCTCAGACTGAGAAATAACACAAGTTAAAATAATAGTTATACCATTAAAAATAATTTTTTTTTAGTTATTAATAAAATAGTTGACCATTTGTAAAAATGTTGAGTACATAACTACACAATATTGCTCTGGGCAACTAATCCATTTTCTTTGCTTTGCTCAAACAGTGCATATAAATGGCAGTAAAATTAATTAAAAAGTTAATATGGTTAGTAATGAAGGGGTAATGTTAGGTTAGGGTTTGTATTGATGTTGAATATTTTGTATATATTTACTTATTATTTTGATGTATTTTATTTACATGATGTTTTTGTAATGTTTATTTAGATAATAATATTTTTGAATGATCAATTGCAAAAAATCTGACTTTTTTAGTATTGTACTTATGTATATTTATAATTTATATAAACTTAATGTATAATTTAAGTAAAAAGTTTGGAGGCCATATCTGTTAGTGTAAATCTGTTAGCGTACATGTATTCACTAATGTTGTGTAAAGCATTGTTCTTACCCGTTTGTATGGAAGGTTGATTCTGCTATGAAATAAAAAGTAAAAAAGGCGAAATTAATTTTTCTCTTTTTCTCTTACAACATTTTATCTTTTTATCTTACAATTCTGACTCACAATTTTCTCACAGTTGTAAGTTCGGAATTGCAAGATAAAGACTGGCTTTCGTAGTTTGCATTCTGATATTGGTTAAAAAATTCCCTCTGTTTTAATGCAAATATTTTAATTAAAAATGAATTAATTGTATTAATTAATTCGTTTTCATTTCTGTTCATTGTCACAGGCAACCTACAAATATTTATTTAATTAATATTATTAGTAATGAGTTCTATTTGATGCAATGTTAGTCTTAACCTTATATATTTAATATTTCATTTGCATGTCAATAGCTAAATGTGGTACAAGCATCGTTTTCTTTTTCCTCTCTTTCTCTCTCTGCCGTCTCCTTGTATCATCTCTCCTGTTCTCTCTCCATCCCAGATTTCCCAGCGTTCCCGTCAGCTCCTCCCGCGTCGATGCTGGGAGAGGCTCCTCCGCCGTACTCCCCGCTGGGCTCTCCGGAGAGCGGCAGTGCTCCTGTCATCAGCTGCAGAGTATGTCAGTCGCTTATTAGTGTGGAGGGTAAAATCCACCAGCATGTGGTCAAATGCGGCGTCTGCAACGAGGCTACAGTGAGTTAACAAGCACATTTCATTTAGGATTCCAGTCATCAGACATACCTAATATTATGTGCAATATTTGTTTGAAAACTGTACTAGATTTAAATGGAAGTTCAGACTGTGATATCACTTCCTGTTTTATCTAGCCCATAAAGAATGCTCCAGCAGGAAAGAAGTATGTGAGGTGTCCGTGTAATTGTCTTCTCATCTGCAAAGTCACCTCGCAGAGGATTGCCTGCCCTCGACCTTACTGGTGAGAGACATTACCATCCTTCATAAGCCTTACAACAAAGTATTAGGTTAGGAACACACCATGGAACAGGGTATCAGATAGATATATATATATATATAGTTTTTTTTAACTGTTCTTTTAAACTTTTCTTCATCAAAGAATCCTGAAAAAGACATAGGCTTCCACTAAATATATCAATAATTCATTGATAATAATACGACTTGAGCACCGAATCAGCATATTACCAGTTATATAAACCAGTTATGAACAGTTATTTTGAATAGTAATAATGGATGCAGTTCAGCAGGACTTTAATAGATAAGTCGGGAGGTAATTATGATTTTAATGACATTAAAGATTTTTGATTTGATATGATTGAATGCCCACAATGGTTGTTGTGCAATGAAGTTGATAGTGTTTTTCTTATTAGTTTTAATTATTCCTCCGCCGTACTCCCCGCTGGGCTCTCCGGAGAGCGGCAGTGCTCCTGTCATCAGCTGCAGAGTATGTCAGTCGCTTATTAGTGTGGAGGGTAAAATCCACCAGCATGTGGTCAAATGCGGCGTCTGCAACGAGGCTACAGTGAGTTAACAAGCACATTTCATTTAGGATTCCAGTCATCAGACATACCTAATATTATGTGCAATATTTGTTTGAAAACTGTACTAGATTTAAATGGAAGTTCAGACTGTGATATCACTTCCTGTTTTATCTAGCCCATAAAGAATGCTCCAGCAGGAAAGAAGTATGTGAGGTGTCCGTGTAATTGTCTTCTCATCTGCAAAGTCACCTCGCAGAGGATTGCCTGCCCTCGACCTTACTGGTGAGAGACATTACCATCCTTCATAAGCCTTACAACAAAGTATTAGGTTAGGAACACACCATGGAACAGGGTATCAGATAGATATATATATATATAGTTTTTTTTAACTGTTCTTTTAAACTTTTCTTCATCAAAGAATCCTGAAAAAGACATAGGCTTCCACTAAATATATCAATAATTCATTGATAATAATACGACTTGAGCACCGAATCAGCATATTACCAGTTATATAAACCAGTTATAAACAGTTATTTTGAATAGTAATAATGGATGCAGTTCAGCAGGACTTTAATAGATAAGTCGGGAGGTAATTATGATTTTAATGACATTAAAGATTTTTGATTTGATATGATTGAATGCCCACAATGGTTGTTGTGCAATGAAGTTGGTAGTGTTTTTCTTATTAGTTTTAATTATGAGTTTCCAGAAATTCTGTTATTTCATGTTTTTGTGTGTACATGTGTCTTTTTTTTTGATGGGGATCAGTAAGCGAATTATCAATTTAGGTCCAGTTCATCCTGGTGCCGGTAGTCCGAATCCTCAGCCTAGTGGTGCCAGAGTTTCCTGTGGCCACTGTGGAAACACTTTTCTGGTAAGAATTTTTCATATTCGTGCACGGTTGCAATATTTTAAAGCTCTTTATCATTTCATTTGCCCTAATAATAGCCTTAATAAAGCTGTGACTCGATGTCTCTCTGTTGTTGATTTAGTGGACAGAATTTACAGATCGGACATTGGCTCGCTGTCCACACTGCAGAAAAGTGTATGTTAATTATTATCCATAGACCTTCCTCTATTTAGCACCAGCAGTTACCATTCACAGGCTGCAAGTAAAATATTTGGCATGTCATTCCATTCTTTTGATCCATACAGCTCATCGATTGGCCAGAGGTACCCTAGAAAGCGGAGTTTGATATGTTTCCTGCTGTGCTTGATCTGCATTATAACGACTGCAGGATTGATTGTAAGAATAAAAGCATTTTTAGAGTTCATTATTTCAAAACGCACCATCACTTCAGAATACCAGGAATCCTCTTTTCTGTGTTCTGTTTCTCTTTTTAGGCTGGCACGTGGTGGAAGGCACTGACATATAAGGGGATTTATGCCTCCTGGGTATTTTTCATTCTCCTGGTGCTGATCACTTTGGTCCGAGCTTTACATTGGGCCTGCATGAAAATCAGTGAACCGCTGCACAACTACTCATCGTAGGAGGGATGAATGTGGAGGAGGAAGGGGTAGAAATGAAGTGTAAGAGACGAGAATAAAGAGAAAACGGAGCAAAAAGATGTTAATAAAGTGATGCTCTGTCAGGAAAATATCCAAGTCATATTTCACACCAAAATCAATGCAAAAAAAAAAAAAGTTGAATTTCCAAAAAAAAAAAAAAAATTATAATTTTGGGAAAAAAAAAAAATATTTTAAAGCTCTTTATCATTTCATTTGCCCTAATAATAGCCTTAATAAAGCTGTGACTCGATGTCTCTCTGTTGTTGATTTAGTGGACAGAATTTACAGATCGGACATTGGCTCGCTGTCCACACTGCAGAAAAGTGTATGTTAATTATTATCCATAGACCTTCCTCTATTTAGCACCAGCAGTTACCATTCACAGGCTGCAAGTAAAATATTTGGCATGTCATTCCATTCTTTTGATCCATACAGCTCATCGATTGGCCAGAGGTACCCTAGAAAGCGGAGTTTGATATGTTTCCTGCTGTGCTTGATCTGCATTATAACGACTGCAGGATTGATTGTAAGAATAAAAGCATTTTTAGAGTTCATTATTTCAAAACGCACCATCACTTCAGAATACCAGGAATCCTCTTTTCTGTGTTCTGTTTCTCTTTTTAGGCTGGCACGTGGTGGAAGGCACTGACATATAAGGGGATTTATGCCTCCTGGGTATTTTTCATTCTCCTGGTGCTGATCACTTTGGTCCGAGCTTTACATTGGGCCTGCATGAAAATCAGTGAACCGCTGCACAACTACTCATCATAGGAGGGATGAATGTGGAGGAGGAAGGGGTAGAAATGAAGTGTAAGAGACGAGAATAAAGAGAAAACAGAGCAAAAAGATGTTAATAAAGTGATGCTCTGTCAGGAAAATATCCAAGTCATATTTCACCCCAAAATCAATGCAAAAAAAAAAAAAAAGTTGAATTTCACAAACAAATTAAATAATTATAATTTTGGGTAATAATAATAATATCGTTTTGATTTGGGGGTGAAATGTGACCACTTCTCCCCCCTTTTTTTATTTTTTCAGTGCTCTGCTTTTGAACCCTGCTCTTCTCTGAACTGATTTCAAATCCAATTTGCCCACATTGCTAATAGGAATCTGCTTCCTAAACACTGCAGAATTAGAAAAAGCATAGAAAAACAAATATTTCAGCCTTGTCAGTAGGACAATAACTTCTAGTTTAGTTGCACAATCAGTAACTACGGAAACAGGCTATTTTTGCTCCATGAATTGACATCACTGTGGCATCACACAAATATATTGAAACGTTACAGCTAGAATGAGAGATTGTGGCTGAATTGCTGACACAAAGTGTAAGTGCCTCATGAGACAATGTGCACTGTTGTTAAAACGTGAGCAATTTTTTCATATAAGAAGGAACTGCAACTTTTGCACATCATATGAAGGGTATGAGCAAGAAAAAGGAAATGAAAACACACTGAAACATTTGGAAGGTTTAGAAAAGAGGAAAAGCAGAACTTTTTTTTAGACGGTGCATTTTAGTGCGTATCACCTATTATTGGAATGTGCTATAGATTGGACCATAGGCAAAGATTAATTGATTATTCTTTCAGTGTTTATTGCTTTTCCGTAGATATTATTCAGTGACTCTGTAGGGGTTTCTTCTTGTCTGTGGCCCATTTACCTTTACCTTCCTTTTCTTCCTCCTACAGCATTCAGCATGTCTTACTGTATATCTCCACCCTCAAATTCAGCTTAGGCAACAAATTATGCTTTGCTTACTAACTAATAATGTTCAAATATCCAACACAATGCAATATTACAGGTCATTTTGAGATTTCTAATGATCCTTGTGTTACTTTTGTTGATGCTGTTTATAAATCAGGCATTGCTGCTCATAATTTGTACCTGTCTGTGGTTATATAGGTATATAGCTGCATTCAAATCTTCTCTTTTATATGTTACGAAGACCTTCAACATTACCTATTAAAGTAGTATGGGAGGACAATTTTTTAAAATGACAATTTTGACTTTAAAAAAGGAATTTTTCTTTTCTCTCTTTGGCACAATCTGCACATACAAACTGTTAAATGCTACTGACTAAATACTCAAAGAAAATTGCTGTGATTAATATCTACGCTGTCTGAAAAAAGTGTGCAAAAATTGTACAACAGTTTTTCACTGGGACAACTTTATACCTTATCTAGCTGTAAAAAACAAAACAAAAAAACAATAGTACTTTAGAGTAATAATAGGCCTAGAACCCTTTGGGGGTAAATAAGGTATAAAGTTGTACCAGTGACAAGCTGTTGTCATTTTTTGCACATAATTTCGAACATCAATTTGTACATCAGTTTACATCAGACATTACATCGATTTGTAATCAGATGTAAATGTACCGGCTGACCAATCACAGAGGCTCGTTTCCAGCTGAAATGAACTTCTTGCACTGCACTCTTAATGAAGATACAGTTACTAATAGACATAGTACTTGTACCTGCACCTATTCTGTGAAATTCAGAAGTGACCAGTATGTTTTTATTTTTGCAGAGTTTGATTTGTTTACATGAGTGTGCAGTTGTAGTACTGTGCATTTACTCTTACATTTTTGTTGAAAATGCTAGATATATATATATATCTATATATATTGTTGCACTACATTTGAGCGATTTCGCTAACAGATTCTACCCTTGTCATTGTTGATCATTTTTGTATTTTCCTTTGTGACTAAAATCTCTTTTGAGTATTTGTGTGTGTGTTGGGAGTTCTTACTGTTTGCACAATTATTTTAACTGACAAACATAATGAAATACTATAGTGAGGATAAAAACCTCACGTTTGATAAGTTCAAGTCAAATGTTAACATCATAGGGATAGTTCACCCAAAACTGAAAATTGTAATTAACTCACCCTGAAGTTGTTTTTAGGAATGATACTGAAATCTGTGATGTGATTTTTGGCATAAAAAGTGTGCAAGTGATTATCTTCGCTGCCAGAAAGAAGTTGCTTATGAAGGTTACAATATGCAAACATTCAACTGAACATTGTAGTGGTATTATACCTCATTTATTAACAAAATTTCGCATCCTTGCAAAAAATGTGTTAATACATATCACTACGGTAGCACAGATGTCAAAGAAATAGTTGCTAATGTTTTCCAGCCACACAGACATCTGAAAAACTGTTTTAATTGTCAGCTATTTGAGTTATTATTAGTTACATTATTATGGAGTTGGCTTAACTTTTCCTGAAAATGAAGATTTACTTTGAATCACCACAGAATGATTATTTACTCAGTACACATTTTATGGAATAATAACTAATTAAAAGTATAGTTTACCAAAAAATGACATCATTTACTCACCCCCACGTTTTCAAATTCTGTGGATTGAAAGAATATCCTATCCACTCCTGTCATGCCTGAGTCATGTGTTGAGTCTTTTCATTTGGTCTATCCAGTTCACAAATGATGCATTCATGCATCTGACTGAACCAGTTCTGGAGTTCATCATTTTCTTTTTGTATTCCACAGAAGAAAGAAAGTCATACAGGTTTGCAATGACATGGGGGTGAGTAAATCATAACAGAATTTTCATTTTGGGGTAATCTATCCCTTTACATAATTTCAAAGCAGCTTACGACAAAATACAACTTTAGATCAAATATGCAAATCAAGTTGAAATATTTCTTTTTTTTCTTATTTACAGTAATATTACCTCATGACACCTGACCATTAATGTGCCCCCTCTGTTTTTGTTACTACCCCACACTCTCAGAAAAAAATGGTACAAAACCTGTCACTGTGGCCGCACCCTTTCAAAAGGTTCTATTATGTATAATTTAGGTTAGAGGTGTCCAATCCTGCTCCTGGAGGGCCACTTTCCTGTGGAGTTTAGCTCCAACACCTTTCCTGCCTGGAAGCTTCTAGTGATCCTATTAGCATCTACATTTCCACGAAGAACCTTTAATATCCATGGCAACTTTCTATTGTACAAATGGTTCTTTACAGTTGAAAAATATTCTTTAGATGATTAAAATGTTCTTCACACTTAGAAAAAATGGTTCTTTTAAGAACGGTTCACCGAAAGGTTCTTTGGGGAACCAAAAATTAGTTCTGTGGCATCACTGCAAAAACCCTTTTGGAACATTTATTTTTAAGAGTTCAGGAGCAGGATTGGTCACCCCTGATTTAGGTACCTTTAAGGTACCTAATATCAATCCTTTAGGATAAAATGAGGTACAAAGGCGTACATTTCGAAAGTGTATGCTTTTTATACCATTTCTTCTAAGAGTGCAAGGTCTGCAGGCCCCAACTGTTTATATGTGACATGTCATGAGGGTCAAATTTTCAACACTGAGATTTATACAACTATTTAAAAATGCAAAAATATCTAAATACTGAGAAAATCACCTTTAAAGTTGTTCAAATGAAGTTCTTAGCAATGCATATTGCTAATCAAAAATTAAGTTTTGATATATTTACGGTAGGAAATTTACAAAATATCTTCATGGAACATAATCTTTACTTAATATCCTAATGATTTTTGTCATAAAAGAAAAATTTATAATTTTGACCCATAGGCTATTGCCAGAAATATACCCAAGCGACTTAAGGTTTTGTGGTCCAGGGTCACATATTATTTGTTGAGCCCCATAAGTCACGATTCTGCCCATGGCTACAACTTCAGCACCTTAACAGTGGCGAGAGTTTTGTTCTCCTCATCATTCGGGTAGTCCAAGTCCTCTTCCTCTCCATCCTCTTCATCAAGTTGGAGGCTTCCAGAAGAAAAGCGCATGCGTGCCAGTGGACCAGAATGCACCACTTTACCCAGTGCAGGAAAGTAGGGGTAGAATGTGTCTGAATCTGAATCACTATAACTACCTGTGCCGAGAACGCATAAAGAAGTGGGTCTTTCCGGGAGTGGGGCGGGACGTAGAGGAAGGTAGGTGGGCCTGGTAGGAACCTGGTGTCGAGAAAGGTGTGGATAATATCCCAGAGGGCGATACTCGGATGCATAGGCAGCGGCGTTGGAGGCAAGTGTAAGTCGCTGGAATTTGAAGTCTGGTTGGCTTGAGGCACGACGCGGCAAGCCGGTCTGAAAGGTGGAGTCATCGCTGTAATGGCCCGCTTCCACTCCACTCATGTCCAATTTCCTATTCAAACCAACCCTTAGTCCTAGTTCTCCT